CCATTTGCATCACATTTTGCTTTACGCTCCCATCATCACCATTTGCGACCGCTCACACCACTAAACATTCATCACTCTCCACCATCCCCTCAACCTAATATATTTAGTCCACTGCCTTTTAAATGCTTGGGAAGAGCCAAGACAAAGTCACTGCCAAGATAGGTAAATCCTATCATGCTTGCACTTGTTCCTAAAGTTCCGAACCGAAGGAGATAAAGATTTTATTTCAAGCCGATTTCTTGTTGCAACACTATATATTAATGTAGAGTGAGGATCCTAGTTGTCAGACTTCGTGAACCGTTGCGTTTGATGATTAGTGAAAATCAAATGGACTTTGTTAAAGGTAGGCAGATATAGTTGGCAATTAGGGCCGTTAATGAGCCGAGTCGAGCTGAGCTTTGCCATAGTTCGGGCTCGGCTCGTTAATATATTTCCAGGCTCGAGCTCGGCTCGTGTTCGTCACGAGCTTTAATATGCAAGCTCGAGCTCGGCTCGTTTATGAAAATGAAAGCTCGAGCTCGACTCGTCAAATAAGCTTAACGACCCCAAATTCGAGTTCAACTCATAAAATGTTCATGATAGCTCAAGATTGACCTAGAACTGCGCACAAAATTACATTCTAACCTGTAACAAAGTCTAGCAAAGTAAAACACAATATTTATCCCAATTTTAATACATAAAATCCATGAATTCTAATCCTTTTTTTTATGTCAAACCATTAAATGAGCTTGTTCGGGAGCTTTCGAGCTGAACATGGTATGGCTCGAGTTCGGCTCGTTTAGTTAACGAACTTGTTCGCGAGCCGGCTCGATTAAAACGAATCGAGTGTCGAACGAGTTTTTTTCGAGTCGCACACCGAGCCGTTCATGAGCGGATTGGTTCATTAACAGCCCTATTGGCAATATATTGCTTTCTCATGAGTTAGTCCATAAGTACTCTAGGAATAACATATCATCAAGATGTGCATTGAAAAATGGGTCGGTGAAACCTTTTGATGATGTGGGATTGTGATTTTATCTCTAAAAGTATCGAATGTTATGAGGTTTCCTGCCCGTTTTGTTGACTGGGTTATGATGTGCTTCACCACTCCTATGTCAAGTTTGGGATTTAGATGATGCTTCTAAGAGGGCTGCCTTATCATCTAATGTGTAAAGGAAGGGGCCGGGGGATATTAACTTACTTGTTTTTTTTTTGCAGATGACTTAATATGGGGTTAGGAGTTCGTGATGGTATAAACTTGCTTGGAAGGGTTATGGTACCTCGTAGAATGGGTTGGTGGCGTGGATGATTGTGTGGAATCCAATACAAACCAAACCAGAGACAAAATGTCTACTCAGTCACTGTAATACTCAATCTCCTAGAAGTTGTTCCTTTGTCCATGAAGGGTCTGTAAAAGTAAAAGGGGTTGACCGGAGCCGGCTAGTGGAGAAGGTGAAGGATAGGGTGAAAATTAAAGTCTTATGTGTGAGGAAGACATTAACACTTATTGTATACTTAAAGGGGTAAATTGCAACATTAGTCACTGAAATTACTGAAAACGCACATTTGGTCACTGAAAAATATTTAATTCCAATGATGGTCACTAAAATTAATTTAACCGTTCACGTTTGCTCACTCTCCGTTAGCCTGCGTTAAATTTATCTGACGTGGCAGTCAACTCTGATAGTTGACCGTTAAATGAGTGACGTGGATATTAAAAATGTTATTAAAATAATAAAATATAATCTTATAAATATTCCACCTCATTATCATCATTATTAAAAATTAATAAATCCTAATTTCACCTAATCCCTAAATATGCCTGAAAAAATGCCAAACTCTTATTTGTTTTTGTCCACCAGTACCACCGCCGCCAATGCCCACTGAAATTCCCTCGCACTAGCAACCGGCGGTTCTCCAAAATCCCAAACCGTACATCTCGCCAAAGGAATTACTTCCCCTTTAATTCCCTCTGGATGCGATGGCGGAGAATGAGGTGCTCGTCAAGGAAGGGGCGGCAGATCCACAACTTTGTTGTTGATAAACCCAGATCCAGATTTTTGTAGTCCACAAAATAAGATCCACATCGATCCCAGTCCCGCCTCTTAGCCGGTTGACGATGACGTTGCGATGGGCAGTGCGATCACAAGCCGAGTTTGGACCCGAGATCGCACAGGGTTATTAACCTTGGAGTTCGGCTCCGTCGCCGATGGGAAAACGATGATGAACACACTGGCTTTCCAGAACCCCTTTTTACCTCAAAAAGCAGGAGCGGGTGGTTTCAATCGAACCCACCACCGCCACCGTTCTGCTTGCGTCTCGTGCTCCTAGTCTTCCAACGAAGCCGTCGCCACCGGGAATTAGTTTTCGGCAATTCTGCTTCCGGCGCCGAGGTGATGGAGGAGGAGAAATGCTAGATATAGGTGTTTATACTTTGTAGAAAATAGGAAATTATTTTTTTAAAAATAATAATTTTTTAAAAATAATTGTAAAAATGATGTGGAAATTGTAATCACTCATTTAACAGTCAACTATCAGATTTGACTGTCACGTCAGATAAACTTAATGGAGACTAACGGAGAGTGACTAAAGTTGAAACATTTAACTAATAATAGTGATCGTGAATAGATTTAAATATTTTTAATGACTAAACATGAATCTTTTTAATAAACTCAGTAACCAAACTTGCAATTAACCCGTATACTTAGTGTTCATCTTTTGCTCTTGTGCTTTGGTTCCATAACTTTGTTTGTCTTTGCATACAAAAGACTAGTAGTTTCTTGTATTGGATTGCTAGCTTATGTGGCAGTGATGTTGTCATAGTGACTAAAGTTTTCAATGATATATACAACCAACTCATTCATAAGAAAAAATCGGACGATAAATTCAGTTCGATCGATGTCCGACTTAGATAGCAAATCTTTATCAACAATCATTACTAATTTCACAATGACCAAGCGATTCAAAATTTGTAGTACTAGCTTAAATATCATGCATTTGCCTCATTTTTCCACTCTTGATTTTTTATGCGACATGTTCATTTTTAGAACAAATCTCCCCATCTGGAGCTTTAGCTAGACAATGCACAAAAGTCTTGCTTGGAACCAAAAAATTTAGTTCCACATAGGATCCAGAAAAGCTACACCCTTCCTAGACCACAGTCCACATAGTTCAGATGTTTCTCCCAATTTAGCGAAGAAACTCGCTATCGTCCCAACAAATTTAGCCTTGTGCAACCAAGTTTCCAAACCAGCCACCACATCTACTCCTCAATAGTCAAGAAAATCTTTACGTTTAAAGAGTTTATCGAACCCTCTCACATTCCAGGATAAGATTATCATTTAGAGGCGGGGGAGAGCTCTCTACCCTATTTCCACCTTTCTTAGGAGCATCCAACAACTTAACCACATCCCCATCTTCCCTCTTTGCTTGAGTTCACACCCACAATCCATACCAATATAGCAAATCCATATGATCAGGGCTTACACCAATAGCTCGAAGCTCAACTAAGAAACTCGAAAATCTCATTCTATAGCTCTAATACGAATGGTTGGTCACCCTAAAGGAGCGAATAATCGATGATTGGACGACTGGAGGAGAATCATTCATTTCATATCAGATCGTGAATGGACGACACAGACAAGCGACAGGCACCGGGGCGACAAACCAAGCTCCAAGGCCAGAAACCTAGTCTGCAATTGGGAGGATTTAGTTGTTTTCCCTCTCTAGTACTCTTTTCAATTTTTCCAAGGCCCCAATGAGAGAAAATTATGCTAAACAGGACCTTAGAACTTCTCAGTAAAGTTCCATGGTGTACTTTAGATACGTATTACTTGGATGTTCTACCTCTAATTTGGAGGTTTACACTTCATTCCTTACGGGTGGTTTGGATACTTGATTCCTACAGTGGTGTATTACATGAATGCATCGATTAAAGTAGTGTATATTAAGAACTTGTATATTATAAAAATACATTAGAAATATAAGTAACACGCCTATTTTAGATTCTATGAAACTATGGTTTTGTTTTCAGTGCATTCACTTTTCTGGGTGCATGCTATATATGTACTCGATCACCTGATAGTCGTTATTTTGGGCAGGTGAATCATATCGAAACGATGTCAAAATTCACTTCCGAGAAGAAAACACATGAATTTGTACAAAAACCATTTAAGATTTACTTTGATTTGAAGGTCTTAAAGTTTAGAAATTTAGGATTAGGATTTATAATTAGGAGTTCAGGGTTAGTGTACATAATTGAAAGTTTAGGGGGTTAGGGTAATATACTGATTAATTGTGATCCTGTGTTTCATCATCATATCACACTAATGCGACCAATTCCAAAAATTGAACTCTTAATGTTACTTTTAGAATTAAGTGTATTGTATAACTTATTTTTATAAGTGCACCGAAGAAATCACCATAAACTATATATAATAAATAAAGGAAAGGATCATCATACAAGCATTATCTCATTATAAAAAAAAATATGTATGTCATATGTATTCCATAGTCCTTTAGTGCATTAGGTACTATCATTGCCTTTTTGCTTAGATTAATCATCAATTAAGAATTAACACAAAAAAAATTAAGTAAATAGCCGGTAGAACTTCCGAATCGCGCTGCAAGCAACAGCAAAAGCAAATTCAATAATTTAAAAGAAAACTTCAAGAAAATTGCCACGTGTGCCTATCCGCTTGGATAATTGGCTCGCGGGATGTGTGATATGTTATGTTGATGATATAAGCGCTTTGTTTGTACCAACGTTACATATGGACTGTGGCCTTCCCAAAAAACTTTGATCCCCAAATTCCTTTTCTCCGTTTTCCTTCTTTGTTTTCTTTCGCCTCTCCTCCCCAATTCGCAAACCCTCCCTCCGACCACGTCCTCCACAAATCCGCCGCACTAAACCCCTTCGTTCTCTTCCCGCCGATCGATTCAATTCCGGCGAATTGCGGGGAAAGAGAAACCCCGCCGAATCGCGAATTCCAAGGAGAATTTTTTTTTTGGCGGTGGAGGAGATGGCGCTATCGGATAAGGTGACGGGGAACCTGACGACCATCTACGTGGCGGTGATCGCCGGGATTAAGGCGTACGGGATGGTGCGCGGCCGGTGTTTCGGCGCCGGGTTCGTCCTCATCGCGTCCACCACGGTGGTGGCATTAATCCTCGTCGCCACGCTGACGTGGGACGTATCGCGGAAGGCCACGTACGCAATCTCCTGCGAGGGCCACGACAGGGCAGCGACGGCCGCGGCGGCGGGGGAAGGCGAAATTTGCAAGGGCGGCATTTGCTGGCACGGAGTGGCGGTCCGGTCGCCGGCGTCTCAGGTTCGGTTCAGGCTACCTCACCACCACCACCACCACCAACAGAATCATCCGCAGGTAGCACCTCCTCCGCCGCCGCCGGCGGCGCTCGGCGCGTGGTGAGGGAGAATTGGGGATGGATAGATTTCGTTGAAGCCCACGAGGTGTTTGTTGTTTTGCCCGAGAGATAAATGGGGAAACTGAGCTGAGTGAGTGAAAGAGTGTAAGCAATGGAATAATGATAATCCTGTAAATAATCGCTGTTACTGTACAAAACCACAGTTAATAAACATAATCCCGCCATATTTGTAACTTAATCTGTGAGGGAATTCTACCAGGATCCTTAAAAAGGTTGATCTTGAACTTATAGCTTTTGGTGAATTGAATTGCATATGATATTAACTTTAAATGTAATTCTCATATATACTCCACTTCTCTGATTTTGTACCAAATCGTATTGAATCAAATTGAATATAATTTATCATCGATTCTAAATAATTGACAACAATCAAATAGAGAAAGATGTAAACAAAGGTCTGAAAAAAATGATTGACAAAGGAGGACGTGTAAAACAAGGTTAGGTTTATCTTCTCGCCCTTGTTCATCCTAAGAATAGAAGATAAGCATTAAGCAATTGGATCTTTTGGCGTTTGTAGGCAACACCCAAACAAAAATGTCATAATAATGGTAATGATGAGAGGCAAAGCGGGCCATGGTATTTTAGGTGTTTTGCCCATTTTTTTTTTTTTTAATATTCCACTATGAGGATAGCTTGATCACCACTCTAAGCTTCTAGCAAAACCCTTCAAAATATGTCCATTCTATTCTTTCTTCACTTTAAAGTCAATTTTGACCCAACAAAAAAGCACTACTTCCCAACCCACAAATTTGAACATGTCCACTCATCCCATAACAAAGCCGAATTGCCCCAACATCACATGATCATGTTAAGTATTCTCAGACATTATATATGATACGAGCGAAAAATATCGTAAGTACTACATGTGGTAAGGCTTAGCACCAGAGTAAAGAGGCATTTGTGCAAAAAAAGGTAGACCTCTCGAATAGCTATTGGTAGAGTAATTCTGGACAATTAAGGGTTAGGCACTGTTTAAGAAATCGTTGGGATGATTAGCAAGCAGGTGACTATAATTTAGACTCGAAGGTTATTCTGTAGCAAACGTAGGAGAGCAATACTGCCCTGAGTTCTTCTTTTTGTTTCATCTACAGTCAATTTCTTCCCACCTCTGATTCCCTGCATTTGAGGTAATAATACCTAAGTTAGATATTTCAACTAGAGCCAAACTTACTTCGTCGTCTATGGACTATGGCCAAGGCATTCATATCCCTTAGTAACGGAGACGAGGCAGGCAATAGTCTCCTGATATAAGGGGCCAAAAAAAACTTGAGAACTCCGCATCAGATAAGGATTGGAAAAAAATGAGGGGAGGTTGGAAAATGACCTCTTCGGTTTTGCTGGCTTGGTTGGCTTGCCACGTCTGACCAATCCCGCTTCATCTTCGGAGCTGGAAGCTTGCCTGGATTGGACGTGAAGTTGTGGTGGTGGGTAGGCAAAATTAATTCAAAGCTTGAGGTCCAAGCTTTTGCATGCTTAGTACTGAAGCAACTCGATCATTTTCATGACTTTGTCATCATGAGAACCTCAAGTGTCAAAAGTAAGACGCATCAAGGCTTTTCAATGCTTGGGATTCAATGGCAACCAGTCATATAATGAAGTGTGTAGACTCATTGTCAAGGCAGGTTGGTATGTTAAACTCACTTTCTTGGTCACATTATTAATGAGGTTTGCAGGAAAAGAGGGTTGAACATAGAAAATGGAAATTAAATTAGGGGAAGAAGAGGATTAGTTAATTACCGGCTTAAAGCTGCCAGGTCTATGCCTTTCCAGACGCACCGTGTCTTCGACCTCAGCATCTACTGGAACAGAAGTTGATAGGTTCGAAGTTTCCTCTGAACAAGTGAGTGAGGCTTGGATGTAAGTCCAGGGGATCCTCGCCAGGCACAACTACTGGCTGAGCCTTAACGAGGTCCTGCTCAAGATCAAGACATTCGGCCTTTACGCATCGAAGGTCCCCAGATGTAGTCAGCATTTGGTCTTCAGCTGCCTGACAGCTCAAACAAAGTATGCCATGTGTCAGTAAGGCATATCAACTACTTTCTTATTCCGAGTTCATTGTTACACGAGAATGGCACGTCCAAGGACTAGGTTGCTTGATGAAACAAAGCGGAACTCGGGTAAGCATGTAATGATCGGGGGGTTATAAACTAAATGAAAAGGCTTCTGAGACTGGTTGATTCTGAATCTGAGTAACGCAAATGCATGTTATTCTTCTAGGATAGCAATTGAGCTTTGTTTTTATTTAGAACGAAGGTTTATAGGAGAACATACGTCCTGGTCATGTACTTCATTGATGCTGGATTCTTGATGGCTGCTAATGCTTTGAGAGCAATTGGCTGCATTCATCTGGAAAAGAGAAGAAAGCTCACCTAACTTCTCACACCAAGTTATTGAGACAAGTTAGATTTTATGACAGGAAAGAGACAAGAATGGAAAACTTACTGGAGCAAGTTGTTCAGTATCTTGTTGAATCTGTTCTGAAATAGATTCACTACTCTTTGAAGAATGAGGAGGCATGGGTTCCGGGTCAGACAAGATCTGTTTTGAAATAGACACAGTAATCTTGGGGGAATCACAAGGCTTGGGTTCCACGACAGAGCATATTTGTTCTGAAGAAGATTTAGCACTCTTTCGGGAATCTCAAGGGTCTGGAATAGCAGGTAACAGTGAATTATAATGGTCCAAAATTCTACCATCATTCATTGGATAATAGTAGGCTTACCCCCATCAACTTTTACTAAGGTGGCTTGGCTTCCACTGTCTGTTCCTTGGAGCAAGTACATCGTAGCTTCAAATCCTCAAGTTCCTTTTCTAGCTCAATGCGTCTGGCCCTTTCATTTCTGAGGTGTTCACCAAGACTTTCAACTTTCCTTTCAGCCAGCTAATTGTCAAATAGGTGTTTGATAAATAAGACCCAATCCCAGACGAAAAACTTGGCTACAGGGAGCAGTTGATTTCTCAATGAGTTCACCAGAAGCTTTTCTTTGTATTGCTTCAAATCTTTAGCAAAGTTCTGCACTATGATGTCGTTTCTCTCCCTTTTGAATGACTCAGAGTCTGATTTGTCCATAATTGATGCCTCTGGGACTGGGATGAAATGAAGAGGAGATGAATATGATGTCCTCGGACGTGAAGATAAACTAACAAAGACATTGCGAGGGTGTGTCAACTTCCTTACCTTCGGTGCGAGCTTCCTGCAAAAGTATATTATCATCTCCATTGGTTTTCGGCTCTTCAGTCTATTAGAAATGAGAAGATTCACCTTCGTCAGATTTGGGACACTAAGAACACATACATATAACCACAAGCAGTAACACCTGAACATCAACAGCGCTGGGCTTCATTCTTTTCTGTTGTCCAATCCTGGCCAAACTTTGGATGGGTCTTTTGTTGGAAACAAAACCACTTGGATCCTCATCTGAAAGTTTAAAGGGCTAGTGGTTAGTACAAGATACCAATGCAATTAAAAAAGAAACTCGATGGAATCAGTACAGGCTAAGGAGAAGCCTGTCTGAGTAGGCAGGCTGTGTCTAGGCTAGATAGTCCTCTTCCCCTGGTTTTACAGTTAATATCTGCAGTACTTAAATGGATATTGGAAGTTAATGGAAAAAAGAGAACTTTTTGAAAATCAAGAATGATTGGGCAGATTTAATGGGCTCTAGTAACTAAGCTTAGTACCAAACTCATCCGCTTCTTGCCTTCTAAATAATCTCTTTAAGATACTTGGTTAGCGGAGATCAAGAATAAATAAAGCCAAAGTTTTTCAATTTATCAGAGAAGCACCAAATGCAATCCAGAAAATGGCAATAAAGACTTACATAATAACAGAAGCACTGTAAAGAGCAAGGCAAAATTAAGGAAGCCTCATGTTGCAGTATTACCAAAGAGTTCCGAAAATGCTTCTGTAACGGTTTCTTGGGATTCTTCTGGTGCTCCAGTAATGCCTACAGCAAAAGAGTATATAACTGAACAATTCAGAACAGATGACGGTACCGAATATTCCTTTAGTTCCAGGTAATCCAAAGAACTCAATAAAGATTACATACTCTGAGGCATAAGCCGAAGACCATAGACGTGTTGTTGATGAAATTGCTTTCTGGCAATTTCGGCCCCCCCTGCAAGATCACCACCAAAATCTGAGGTCTGAGGCCAAAGGATTTAGATATGATCGTCATAACAAGCAGTAACACTGAATCCGAGTAACACAAATCCATATCACCACAATGACAGATTAAAGTGACTTAATCTTTGCAGTGCAGCACACAACTCAAGACTACAATATGACCCTAAAAGGAAACATTAAGTAACAATAAGAATCGACAAATTCTCCCAATACCATTTGTGAAGCTGAGGTTACCAAGTAAGTGCACATCATCACAAAAGATAGCTCCCTTTCTTAGCATTAAGCAGAAAAGTTGGTTATGTTGACTCATCAATAGTGAATCTTTGCTGAAGAACATTCATACTGTAACTTACTATACATGGACTTTAAATGCCACCGACTATCAGACTTCTTTACGACCCAATATCTAATGGACTCGAATCAACTAGACAAATCAAAAGGTAACACTTGTCAAACCTGATTCCCTGTTCTCTTCTCTCTCTCTCAGTTCCAGCAAGGTCAACAATAGTTAGCACTTAGCACAGCATCATCTGTTTGATTTCTCACTTCGCCTCGTTTCATGTGTACGTTAATGATGCCTTGAGATCGGCAGCAAAAATGTTGATCATCAATCAAAATACCAAAGAACTTACTGCTGAAAACACCATCCACACCATCTAAAGTTCAACAACTTTCACAAACAAAAATTGAACCTGCATCGACTGTTTGTGTTGGTCATGCTTGTAGCACGCTTCAACATTGCACAAGCAATCAATGATTCAGCCTCCAAAGCATTAGAAACTAAAACCTATTCACACACAGACCAAAATATACCCTTAGCATGCTGCATGAATAGAAAGAACCAAATCATTCAATAGTTATCATACAGCATGGGCAGTAATTCTTGCCTCTTGAACCCCTTTGACAGTTGAGTGCAACCCAGATTCAACTCTTTCTGGAATCAAGTCACATATTTTCGCCTTTACCTCTTTCAGAATATATTTCAAAGATTGATAGATAAAATGACCTACAAAGATAACACAACCAAGTTGAAAGAACTATTGGAGGAAAGAAAGTACAGAAATCCACTAATCCCTTCATTGGGGTTACTTAGAAAGCCTGAATTGTAAGCTCACCAAGCTTAAATTACCTTGAAAACTTATGATCCTTGCCCTTAGATTGCTTGAAAATGTACTGAAGTGCAAGTGGAACCATTCCAGGCTCTCTTGGTCCTTGGAGAGTTGGAGTCCCGAAGACAGTATGAGTTTTGCCTGAACCGCTAGGCCCTACAGCGGCCAGCATTCCATTTCTGCCTTTGAGAAAATCGCCCACTATAGGCCGCACCATCTTCTCATATACCTCACCCTTCCAAACCAACAAACAACCAAACAGATTTTCAGCTACCAAAGCTCTACACAGAATTAGAATCGCAGAAGGCGACAATCGAACTCTGAGGATGGATACCTGCAAGGAATCTGGAGCGAAGACGTGAGAGAACCCTTCGTAAACCTCTGATTTTATCTTCTTCGAATCGACCAGCGACGGCGGCGGAGATCGTCACTGAGTGGGAGTCGATTACAGATATGCAGATTTCACTTTCGCTCTTCTACTTGGCCGATTGCTGCCCCTTTTCCGAATTCTTCTTGGCTGTAGGGTTTTGAGGCCAAGCATTCTTGGCCCTCGACCTGGTGGATTTTACGAGTAGCTTGGACGCCGACGCCGCCGCTGTGGCGAGCACAACCGGCTTGATTCTGAGGAAAATCTTGAGACTCTCGGATGGCGGAGCTTGAGAAGCAACGGGGTGAGCTGGCGGATTTAGTATGGTAGTCGGCTGGAGTTCTTCCAGTTGAATAGGAGTTGGAGCTTTCATCGGCGTTGCCCTACCCCGCCGGGGAGGATTCCGGCGGACGCTGTCGGTGTTTAAACATGGTGGAGGTAAAGTGATAGAGTCCATTTCGCTCCGTTCCCCCAACCTCTCGCTCAGTTACGAAATTTGAGCGCGCAATTGAAAGCCAAGCTAAGGAAATGGAAGAAAGGGAGATGGAGGAGAAGCGACTGAAGCCAAGCATGAGGGGCATTTATCGCGCGACGTTCTGTATTTCAAATTTGACGTTCCAATTTGAGATTGATTCTACTAAAATATTTATAAATTTTTTAGGGGTGTCTACGGTGATATGTATGTCACCGTAACATGTACTTTTCGGTCGACCGATTCTTAATCGCGGTCAACCGAATACACTAATGTGGGCAATATGATGACTTATCCAGAGTTAAGTTGTGATATTATCGGTCGACCACATAAAACATGGGTCGCCCTTTTCATTGTAGTCTGAAGCAAACTAGTCGACCGTAAAGGTAATGAGGTCGACCACTTGATTGTGGTCATTACCTAAATGATCGACCATTTACAGAAAGAGGTCGACCAGACAGACGAGTAAAGTGCTCTATCCATTTATCCATCCCTTTTTTATGTGAAATGAAGATCGAGTGTTGGTCTCGAGGTCGACCGAATTAAGGAAATTTAGCCTATGACCTTCGACTTTTTTGCATATGTATGTCGATGTGGGTGGTTCGTTTGATCGTTCAAATTACGTTTGATAGTCATTGAAATCAGTCTTATATCATGATAGCAAGGACCCATAACTTCTAAACATAACAACGTAACACACTAACAAGAAATATAATAAAAACACTTCATAATTGTTCACATAAAACACACTTCATGAAATCGAAAACCACATAACAACAACAAAAAAAGAAGCTAAACTCATGGAGTTCCTACACCTCTCCACTCTCTGAAACAGCAAATTAGGTCGACCTAATCCTATATTAGGTCGATCGAAAAGTGCATGTTACAGTGACATGCATGTCACCATAGCAAAGTCCAAATCTTTTTTATGGTTAAATTAAAAAAAATTAGGATAAAAATAAATTTGTTAGTGAGAATTTTTCTCTTTAACATACTGATAGCTTAGGAGGTTATGCAATTTCTCAAGACTAAATCGCAAGGTCAAGACAAGTGGATGACGTTGAAATTGGATATGGAGAAAGCATACGATTGAGTGGAGTTGGGATTCCTGTTTACAGTAATGGAGGCACTGGGTTTTAGTGCTCAGTGGATAAAATGGATCAAAGCATGTGTAACTACGGTTACTTTCTCGATAATGGTTAATGGGAAGGAGCACAGATACTTCAAACCTGAACGCGGTATTCGGCAAGGCGACCCACTGTCACCCCCGCTCTTTGCAATATATACTGAAGCCTTCTCCACGATGATTTCTGCGGCGTTAGCGTCTTCCAACCTTCATGGATTGAAGGTTCACCGATTAGCCCCGACCACTTCCCATCTGCTATTTGCAGACTATACCTACTTCTTTCTCCGTGCCTCGTCCTCTGAATGCTCTCAGCTTCTACATCTTCTTCACACCTATGAGGCAGCGAGTGGCCAGCGGGTGAATCTACACAAATCCTTAGTCTGTGTTTAGTGCGAATGTTGATTCCCATGAGGCTAGTTCGTTGGCTGCCATGCTAGGCGTACCATCCATCGGAGATTTGGACAAGTACTTGGGTCTTCCGGCGAGAGTTCACAGGTCCAAAGTTCTAACGTTCCGATTCATTGAGGACGCCTTGGCTGCCCGCATTCAAATTGGCGCTCAAAAGCCTTATCCATGGCAGCTAAGGAGGTGGTGATCAAAGTAGTAGGTTCTGCAACCCCTGTTTATGGCATGTTATCTTTTCGTCTTCCTTCTACTACTTGCAGGAGGTTAAATGACCAGCTCTCCCGATTCTGGTGGACAGGACAAGATAAGGAAAGAGGTATGCATTGGATTGCATGGCCGGATGTCTGCATCAGTAAGTTTCATGGCGGGCTAGGCTTCCGGGACTTCGATCTCTTCAACATGGCAATGCTTGCAAAGCAAGCATGGAAAGTGTTGCAGCACCCCCAGTCCACCTTGGCCCGGATTTACAAATCGCGTTATCACCCACATTGCTCGTTTCTGACGGCTCCAGTGGGCAGCGCCCTTCGTGGGCGTGGCAAGGAGTTCTAGAAGGTAGGAACATTCTCCGACGGGGTCTCCGGTGGCAGGTAGGATGCGGAACAGCTATAGATATCCTCACTGATCCTTGGCTACCCTCCTCTCCTCCGTCTTCTCCTACTCTTCTACCAGGTGTAGTCCTTCCTAATCCTTGGATAGCCTCTCTCATTCATCCTTTCACATCTTCTTGGAATGTTGAATTGTTGCGTTCGCTATTTACGAGTAGTTGTGTGGATTTGATTACGACAATTCCTCTTCCATCCACTCCTCAACCGGACCGCTTAATTTGGCATTACTCGAGCATAGGGCAGGACACTGTTAAATCCGGCTACCACCTCTTAGCTGCTAAGTGAATGGAAACGTTTGACACCCTCCCCACGCACCTTGACTCGAAGTTTTGAAAACTTCTCTGGAGCCTGCCTCTTCCCCCTAAACTCAAATTTTTCCTGTGGCGACTGGTTCGATGCTTCTTACCAGTTCGAGCAGTTCTACAGGGGAAGTCTCTTAGCTCCACTAATGAATGTCCAGTTTGCTCTGAGTTGTATGAGTCTATTTCTCACTGTTTCTTTTCATGTAGGATTGCTTGTGGGTTATGGCAGATGGCTGATTTGGAGCATATTCGGGTTCGTTTACTCCCCCATGACCATGATGTAGCCTGGTCTCATATTTTCTTTTCTATGCAGCTGTCCAAAGTTCAGATTGCAGAGATTGGCTTCCTCTGTTGGCGAATTTGGAAGGGAAGGTGTTGGGCAACCTATGATCACATTCAATATCTACCTTCAGCCTCATTCCGTCAATTTCGGACACTAACGGAAGAATGGCACTCTGCGAATAGCACCAGATATGCTCGGCCTTCTGGGAGACCTCGTATTACTCCCTCTGCAACAGCTGTTTCGTGCCTTAGCGGTGGCTTCCTCGTCCGTTTCGATGGGGCAGCACGCCGGAATTGGGGAGGTAGCATCAGGTTTGTAGGATTTGCATTTGATTCGTCTTTGGTATGCGCATTTGGTAAGGCATACCCAGGTTTGATGGACCCTTTCATATTGGAATTATTAGCACTACGAGATGCAATGCTATGGAGTTTAAATCGTGGGTATAACATTATTTGTTTTTGTGGTGACGCGCAAATGGTGATCCGTCGGGTCCTGGAGGAGGATCCGCATCACGACCGTGGGGATGCAATACTCGAAGAAATTCGGAGGATGAAGGCATCGTTTTCTTCTGTTTCCTTTGTTTATGCTCCTCGTAGTACTAACAGGGCTGCCCATTGCGTGGCAAAAATGGCCCTTGCATCGGTAGCTCAACATTTGGTTGACTACCACTATTTACTTTTCAACAACTTGTAATCTCCTATCTATTTTTCAGCCTATCTATGACAAAAAAAAAAAGAGTAATCAAATCTTTTAAAATATTATTATAAAAAATTGTAAATACAATATGATAATAAAAACATGAATAAAAAATTTCAGGTTTTTTCGTGCAATGCGATTTCAACTTGATTCATGATAGTGTATAGTGAAGAAAAAAGTCAATAAGCCAAGTTGACTTTGACGTGATAAATTATTCACGCTCATAGAATTTTGGCAAAATTCACATGCGTAGCTATAACGATCGACTTTGTGGCAATAATAGCCACTTTTGGAGAAATACACAAAATAGCCAGATTTTGGATGGTAGTTTGAAAAATCTAGCCATTTTCGTTAAAAACTTCAACGACATTAGAATCGACACATACGTCAGCGACCGCTCGACATGTCTTGCCACGTGGACGCCACGTCATATTTTGTCGATATATTAGTATATCCAAAACTTTGATACTAATGACTAATATAGCCATTTTTCAAAAATAAAAGTCTCACCACTGAAAATTCCTCCTTCCTACTCCAAATCTCAATGCCTCTTAAGCTAAATCATTCACAAATAAATATAAGAAAGAAGTAACGCGTGAACAAACTTAATCAAATACAAAAAAAAAAATAAGCAATCGAAATTGGGATACCCAGCGGAGGAGTTACACAGAGTATGTCAAGCTTCCCATTAACATTAACATTCGAGGCTGGCATATACATACGAAACTGAAGGGGGATCTGTAGCCGCCGCACGAACCTTAACATTCGCTGTCCACGGTTTTTGAAATTGGGTCACGAGGGCGATGGGATTTGGAGAGTAATGGAGGGATTTGAAGAGGTGGGATTTATAGTTTTGAAAAAATGGCTATATTAGTTATTAGTATCACAGTATTGGTTATACAAATGTATTGAAAAAATAGGACATGGCGTCCACGTGGCAAGTTGTGTTGAGTTGTCGTTAACGTATGCGTCGATTCTAACACCGTTAATGTTTGAAACGGAAATGGCTAGATTTGTCAACCTATCATCCAAAATTTGGCTAATTTGTGTATTTTTCTAAAAGTGGCTATTATTGTCACAAAGCTAATAGTTATGGCTAGACAGTTGTGGTTTGCGTATAATTTGATAAATTTGTCTTTATCATTCATAAATTCCCACTCCATTAAAGAACAATTTTTCAAAAAGAAAATGGTTGAGTTTTTTTTTTCTCGCTTTAGAGTCAAGTCTATCCTTCTCCATCTTCCTCTTCCCTTCTACTACTAGCTTACACCCGGCCTGTTGGTCGGAAAATTTGTAAGGGTTAAAACTTAAAACCTTTCCTATCAAAATAAGATGCATTGTATCGATACTTGCAATTTGGAAGATCCATCAGTTTTGCTTATGCAGTTGTAAGGAGATAAAGGTTGACCATACATGTTATAAATAGTTTACTTTAGAGGACATTGAAATGGGTCCATAAATATTTAAAATTTTGAGTATTTGAGAAATTATTATCCAACTTCGTCTCAACTAAAACTGTCAAGAACTCATAACTTCAATAAGCATTTATATATACTGATCATTCATCA